AAAGATAAAATAGGATCTATAAAACTAAATCTGGTTCTTTAAACAAACTAATAAGAGAGACAAACTATTTTAATACTGTTTAAAAAAAAAGAAAGAAAAACAAACAATATCAGGGATGAAAGGAGAAACACGATGACACAGAGCAGAGTTGTTTTTTTTTTTGAGACAGAATCTCACTCTGTTGTCCAGAGTAGCAGAATGCCATGGTGTCAGCCTAGCTCACAGCAACCTCAAACTCCTGGGCTCAAGTGATCTTACTGCCTCAGCCTCCTGAGTAGCTGAGACTATGGGTGAGCACCACGACACCCAGCTGATTTTTCTATTTTTAGTAGAGACAGGGTCTCACTCTTACTCAAGCTGGTGTCGAACTCCTGAGCTCAAGCAATCCTCCCACCTTGGCCTCCCAGAGTGCTAGGATTACAGGCATGAGCCACCGCACCCAGCCTTAGAGCAGAGTTTGAAAAAACAATGAGGGAATTCTATGAACCCCACTCCATGGGAAGGCTTCTATGATGGAAGGCACCAAGGTATTGGACTCAATTTGCTGGCATCAAAGACTGCCTCCCTGCATGTGGGCATGGCAGGGCCAGGGCAGGGAGGGGCCAAGCACACACCCAGGTGTGGCCTTCAGCCAGGTGCTGCCAGGTAAGTGGTTGGCCCAAGGCCAAGCCTCCAAAGCAAGCTCTTGCCAAGACACTGGCCAGGTCTGCACTGCAAGACAGGGAAGCTGAGGGCCCACACAGGCACTGCATATATGGTGTGGCACTTATGGGCTAGGCAGGGTGGAGTCGCTTTTGATTAGCTCCCAGCACCTCTCTATAAGATTCAAATTCCAGTTACCATCAGAGGAATAAGCATCTCTCCACAGGGAAGGAAGAGGTTTGTTTGTAATTTTTTTTTCTCAGAACTGACCTGTATATTACCACATAATTATTTCTGCAATTCATAGTGATGGCCCATGGGCCATTAACTCTTTTTAGGAAGAAAATTAAGATGATACATTTTAGAACTACTGTGATAACAATAGTTAGTGTTTAAGGAGATAAGCTTCAGGGATCTAGGATCTAGGAAATTTTGTCCTCAAAGAACCTCCCGTCAAACATCCCTCCCTCCTCAAGCCATCTCTATTCCTACTCGAAATGCTTCAGGATTACAGTTGGTGTCTGTTTTTCACATGTCCCTATAACTCCTGAACTCTCTGCTCCCTAGCTTATGTACTAAATCTCTTCTCTCAAAGTCACCAGTGACCTTTTTCCCCTGAAGGTTTTTTTTTTAGACACAGGCTCTCACCATGTTGTCCAGGCTAGACTTGAATTCCTGGGCTCAAGCAAAGCAATCCTCCCACCTCAGCCTCCCAAGTAGCTAAGACTACAGCCGTGGCCACTGCACGTGGCTTCCACTGAAGTTTTTATTAAAGTATATACCTAAAGTTTTAAAAAGTTGAATGATGCAATAGTCCCTAGTCCCACTCTCCCTTCACTCTCTTGCCGCTCCTCAGAGGCAACTGCTTTCCACCTGGTCAGTTCCATTGCTGTGGGTTCTTTGGATGGTTCCCTCCATATCTCTTCTATGCAATATGCCTACCCCTCTATTTCTTTCTTTAATTAATTAATTAATGTATTTATTTTATTCGCCACTGTACTAACAAGGATACCCCTCTATTTCCTGATTTATCCATTGTAGGCCACAGCTCCTAGCCTTGATTTACAACGGGTACTTAGTTTGCTTACATAAGTCCTCCCTTTCCTCCTCCTCCCAATATGAGCATAACACTATTCCTAACTCCTCTATTGGCGATATTTACCTTTACGTCTTTTTCCCCACCTTCCCATCTTGTAAGATGGTAGTTTTGGTATGGCACCCTTGGCTTGGAAAGGGAGGAAGCAGGACATTTGTACCGTGGCTCACCTGTGTCCTGTTTCTACCGTCTGCTCCCAGTCCTGCAGAGCCAGGAACAGCCGCATCTTCAGGACCAAGGCTGGCAGGAAGCTCCCTGAGGCCACAGTGACCTGGTTAACCACCTCCAGGGCCTCTGAGTAGTTCTGCTGCATCATGAAGTACGTTGCCTGTCGGGAGCCAGAGAGAAGAGCCTCCATCAGTGCCCATGAAGGGAGGTGGGGGTGTTGGTGTCTCTACAAGACAGGATTAGACCTGACATATGGGCACTGTGAGTCCTCTCTGCTGGGCCAGGGAGTCCTCAGGCCAAGAGAAGCAGCCCCTCACAGATCCTGGAGGAAGGAGTCATCACTCAGAGTGACAAATCAAGGTTGATGACAGTCTTGGGCTCTTAGGCAGGCAGGGCAGGGGCTCCAGGGAGATAGCTGAGCCCTGAGCTTGGGAAACTCAGTAGGTCTGGGATATAGCAAGGTCATGTGAGGGTCACCCCAAGGGGATGAGCTGGGGTCACTGGGCATTTTCCAATACCACAAATTGCTCATTCATTTCCCATTCACTTTCCTGAATTTCATCACTGAAACTGCTCACTGAAACCCAGTTTAGCAACTCTGCGTCAGTTAGGGTTTGTGGGCAACTCCTGCTACAGCAAGACTGTGGAGTTGTTGTTTTTTTTTTCCTGTCAAGGCCTATTAGGCTGGAGTCATGGCTTCTGCAGGCGAGTGCCAGCCACCAGGTTCTCCTGGGAGAGCCATGACACAGGTGCCCTGAGGGCCAAAGCACAATGCTTCCAAAAGACTTGAAATTGAACTCTGAAAGGATGGCTTATGTCAGACCTACAGTAACCCTCTATTAAAAGACTTCTCATTAAAAACAAGAGGATTATTCTAAATAATGAAGATTTATATATAAATGTGTTCAATGCATCACTCTTTTAAAGTATACAACTGGAAACAATCCCAATATCTAAATAATAGGGATTGGGTTGGTAAATTACATTATGCCCATACAAGAGTGATTGGCTTTATGTAGATGCCCAAACTGACATTTGCTTATGACAATATATTGCACAAAGAAAAAGAAACTAAAATGACAATATGCCCTAGGATTAAAACTGTATTACACAGCAACGCTATCTCCCACCTTTTAGTGACTGCTATGTGTGAGCCTCCTTCAGGACCAGGAGTTGGCAGCTGATGACTCTCAGTGGCATCTCCCTCCTGAGATCTCCCATGGTTGAAGGGAGCTGCCTCACACCAGGTCACACCCCTCCCTGGAGCAGCCCACATCCAGTGTCTCGTCATTGAGGGGCACCCACTGAAGGGCAATCCGGCCCCAGCGTTCCCCATGAGTTGTCTGAGGCCTTTGCTGTGACTGTTCACAGCCCAACTTCTCTCCCCACAGGTGTTGGCCCCAAAAGGGCTCCCTGATAAGTCTCCTCACAATAATGTCCATTGCTGCTGCTGCTGCCCAGAAAACAAACTGAAAGCACCTACTGAACCCAAGCATGGCAAAAAGGCTGGAAGACACTGCCCTCGAATGTTAACATGAGTTGTTGTAGAGTGGTAGGACTAAGGATGTCATTTTAATTCATCTTTTGACTTTTTTAGAAATCTGTTTTTTAATGAGTAGGTATTCATATTTATAAGAAAAACATACACAAACAGAAGAGAATGAGAAAATGATTTTTCTCTCAAAGATGGCTTCAATGAGGGTCACAAAAGAAAAAGAAACTTAAGATCAGAAAACACAAAACATACAAAATATGCCTTCCTTCTTTTATGGCCAACTAAGCAAATTTAACAGGTGAGAAGAGGTGAAATGGGAGGAAGGAAAGAAGGAAGGAAGGAAGGGAGGGAGGGAGGGAAGGAGCAATGAGTAAAACCAAGAAAGAGGCAGAGAGAGAAAGCCTGAGAGAGCCAAGGCAGGGAAGACACTGAGAAGGCAACCCTGAGAAGCGCTCCCCATGCAGAATGAGACAGAAACTCAGGGCAAGCAGGAAGGAGCGTGAGAAGTAGAGTGGGCCCCGGGCTGCTGTGTGACCTGGCTGGTTGCTGGCCCCCTCTGGGCCTCTGCTCTTCAGCTACCAGATGAGGCACCTGGAGACTGAGGGTCTGGCCTGAGATCATCTGCTGGGTCTCTGGCTCCAGTGGCCCAGCCAGGGATGCTCCCATCTTTCCCCTCCCCACTGCTCACCTTTCCCATCAGCCCCAGCACATCTTTGGTGTCCTGAATGCCTTGTTCTAGGTACTTGATGGCTTTCTTCACAATGTGGGGCTTGTCTGAGGTGAGGTCTATCCAGCCTCGGAGTACAAGGGCCTGGGAAGAGAAGAAGATGAAAGATGAAGTCCTTGGTCCTGCATAGCCTCAACTTAGCCTGCTCGTGATCTACCCTTTGCCACCCTGCACCCTGAGGCTCTGCTTGGCACAACCACGTGCAAATCCCAGGGCATCCCTGCTCTCTCGTGGCCAGGTTTCCCACTGTTCCTTTGCCTGGAGTGCCCTACCCAGCAGCCCTCCCCTCCCAACCCAATCCCTTCACCTGCTGACCTACTACTAGTCTTCACAGCTCAGCCTAGGAGGCCCCTTAGGAGGCTCTCCACTATTGTTCCTGCCTGTTTACTTTACTCTGGGGTCAGGAGCGAGCACAGGGCCCGGGCAGGGCCATTCTTGACCTCTCCCCTCCGTAGGCCAACATGGGGCCTGGTCCTGCCTGTGAAGTTTGGGAATGCCCTCTGAGTGGGTGAGCAGGAGCCCTTCCATTCAGCCTGTCCTGGCAGGTGGGGAGGGCTAGGCCTGGGAGTAGGACTGAAGGGGCACTTGGAAGATCCTGTCCTGAAGCTTCCCTTGGTGGCCTGGACCAGCGTTTCTCTTTTTCTATTATTGCTCTCTGAAGGAGACTTTTTTGATATTTTCTTCTAACCAATTCCTCCCCCTCTAAGAAATTTTAATATCCCAGATATGCCATATCTGTGTATTGTGTACTGTATGTATATCTATGTTTTATACATAAAGAGTAAGATTTTTTTCATCCCCTCCCCCAAGAACCAATTTTTATACCCTTGAAAATTGACATCAGCCCTGCTAGCCCAGGCCTATGAGCTGAGCCACCACTCATATCAAGCAGATCACTACACAGAGAGAGTGGCCCAGTGTGGCAGTTCAGCTGGATTTTCAAAAGAATTAGGAAATCTGGGCTTCTTAGGTAAAAATCTTCTGATTTCTAAATGTCAACAATTAAAGGCTTTAAAAAAATAATACAGGCCACAGAAAACCTATCTAGGGATTAGACACTGGACAAATGCCAACGTGTAACCTCTGTGAAGCGCTGAGACAACGTGGGTGGGGCACGTGTGAGACCCAGTCTTGCTGGTGCCTGGGTGAGGCCCTTCCCCAGTTTCAGGCCCTTTGTCAGAGTAATGGGCTACCCCACTCTGATGTGTTGGAACACTACTTTCTTCAGTGTTACCCTCGTGATGCTTGCGGTGGGTACTTCTCTGGAGCCACAGGAGACCTTCAATATGCGGTCAACGTACTCTCTGGCCTTGTCATGGCGGCCTACAAGCCAGAGGCAGAGGCTGGCATAGTATAGGGCAGTATCACTGGCTGTCTTGCGTGATTCCTTTAGGCTGCACTCTAGCTCCTGAATTGCTTCTCGGTCTATAAGTCCAAGAGTAGAAGAAGAGGATGAGTTAGGATGCCCCTGGTTCTGCAGGGGCATCGAGGACGCAGGGAACCACTTCTAGACACTGTGGGTCTCTCTCAACACATCTAGCCAACTGTATGCCGCAGGGCCTGAAGACCAGCAGTACCTATCCCTGAGATGCCATGGGGCTGCCCAGGCCTGGAATCAGGTTTTTTGTCTGAGATTTATCTTTTCTTCTCTGTGCCCAGCAGTGTGCTAAGCAAACAGACCACAATTGAATTCTCTGCTTCAGGCCCATAACTCATGCTGGGTGGGGAAATAGCAGTTTATAGTCTTTCTTGGAACCTCTTCCTGACTCTGGAGAGGTGGAGATTAGGAGTAGAATTATTTATATTGGCTTGATTTTTCTGACAAGGTCTTGGCAAAAAAAGGAAGAATGTCTCCCCAACTCTTGGCATCTGGAGGGAGGACCCCTCTCACTGTCAATCTCTCTGCCTGCTCCCACTTGACTGGGCACAGTCATGGGGCTTTCTCTGAGGCCTCTAGGGGAGGGGAGCAGCAGCCACTCCTTGCTGGCCAACAGCATCTGCACAGTCACCAGTGCACACATCTCCTCTGGCAGCCCTTGAGTCTCTGGAGTGGGGCCTTCTTTCCCCTGTGGGGCCAGGTCTAGCTGAGCATGGCTGCACTCACCGATGGTTTCACAGCATTTGTGAGCATAAATGAGGGCTATGGTGGAGCACAAGGACACGTCTTGGTGATTCTGGATGCTCTCCAGGTCGCTGATGGCATCCTGGATGCGCTCTGCAAATAGAGTCCATGTGTTTATACTCTCAGGCTCCAGCTCCAGAAGCCAGGATATTATGTAGCAGACACATGCAGTCCCTATCATAGCTGACCCATGGCTTGGCACCACTTGGCTTTACCCAGAATCAGAAAACTAACTGGCTTGAAAGGTACCCAATGACCTGAGTTCCCCGAAGACTGGAGCTCCCTGAAAGGGTTGCTGCTACCATGGCCCAGGTTGCCAGGGGCTGGAGGTCTTATAGCTGAGAAATGTACCTATGAGTACTTGTGGGATACTTGTGAGGCTAGAATTATTGGCTGGGTCAGTTCTGAAGAAGGAACTTAGGCAGGGCATTCCCAGCTAGTGTTCAAGAGCAACTGATTCCATTTGTCCCTCCATGTCCCCTGACATTGGCCATGGGCAGCTCAGCCAGCCCTCAGCCCAGGACTGCCTTCTGCATGTTGGCAAGTCTGTACCTGCACAGGCCCCACTCCTCTCCCTGTACGTGTACCATACCTGTCTGTACACACACCTACCACTTCCTTTTCCTTTTCCTGTACTATCAGCTCTCAGCTTCCGAGTCTGGAATTAGTTCAAAACTCATGCAGCCATTTCTCCAATCACTCATTTTACAGATAGGGAAACTGAAGCAGCAGAGCAGGAATTGTGAGTACTCTAAGGTCTCAAAAGTCAACAAGATAGGGATTACATAGGCTTATGTGGATTGATGTAGGAATCCAGCCACTGAGTATAAGACTTTAAATGGGAACATAACTCCTGGGGTCAGAAGACCATTGCTGCCAAGTACTTACCTTCCCTGAGGACTCCATAGGCTTTAAAGAACTGCAACACAGGGTCATTGCTGAATTTCTCCAAGCCCACAGCCACAGCCTGCTGCACGTGGTGGAAGTACTTTTCCTGGCTATAGTAAATGATCCTAGCCTACATAGAAGAAGACACAGTTGCAATAGCCCCTGTCCCTTCTCTGTCTCTGTTCTGTCCCAGATAGGATGACACCTGCTCCCTTCCCTACCCCCTTCTCCTCCTCAGTTACGCAAAGGGAAGAGAAAGAGGGAACATTCAGGCCCCATCCTGTCTTTTAGGAGCCGTGGAAGCCACTCAATGCAGTTTCCTAGAAAGGAGTTTGAAGGTGTTTGTTTAGGGATTATCAACAGAATCTTGTTCCAAATGTGATAGGGAATTCAACTCAGGCTTTGTGTTATGAATGGAATAAAGGGGAAAGAGTGAAGACCAATAATAAGAAAAATTATACCAATAGCTGTAGTTAAAAGTTACGATGCGCTAACCACCTATTGAGAACTGTTATCAAGGGATTTACATCCATTGTCTTGTGCATGATCCTCTCTATATCTGTCACAGTTAAGGAAGCTGAAGACCATGGACACTACGGCTTGACAAAGGTCATGCAGTCATAGGTGCTGAGATTTTAAAGCTAAATCTCACTTCCCCTAAAGTTTGTTGGCGTTGGGTTGGAAATAGATGCGACTGGATTGTAAACAGCCTTGTGGGCCATTTGAAAGAGCCCAGACATCATCCTAAGGGTATCAGGAAGCAGTTGGAATGGTTTCAAGGAAAGGGATGTGTTCGGGCATATGTTTTTGCAAAAAGCACTCTGGCTGCTGTGTGTGCGTGCAGTGGTGCTGGTGAAGAATGCTGAAGCAGGGAAACCGGATGGGAGGGAGGCTGTTGCAGGTGCCCAGGGAAGAGATGGTGGTGGTCCTGGGCTAGGAGATAAAAAGAAGTGGATGAACCCATAAGACATTTGGAAGCTGACATTTCTTGATAGATAGGATCGCAAGATGGGTATGGGGAAGAGGTACGAATGGGGTCTGGGAGATCAAATGGTGGTGCCATCTACTGAGGTGGGGGATGAGGAAGAGGAGCAGGCGGGGCTGGGGGTGGGTAGAAGGGGAAGGGATGATGACAAGATGATGGAGATGGCTGAGTTGGTTTGGGGATGCTCAGGGGACAGGACTGGGTGGGGGATGCTAATTTGGGACTCAGGGTGCATAGAGGGTACAGAAGGCGATGAACTTGCCAGGGAGAGTGAGGCAAGAAAGGGCAGGAACGCCTGAGACTGCTGGGGATAGCGAAGGGCGGCCAGAGAGACGGCAGCCAGCAGCAGGGTGCGGGGTCACTGGGCCAGGGGCGGAGTGTTCCGGGAGGAGCGGCCGGCAGCTCCCGTCCACGCACCATAAGGCAGGCGTCATTGCTGCCCATCTCGGGCTGCTAGCGGCTCCGAGTCCGAGTCTGCTGGGCTGAGCGAAGCCGGATTCCGGAGTCAGGATTCCAGAGTCAGGATTCCAGGCACGCCTCTCGTGGCCGAAAGGGCGAGGTGCGAGCGTCCTTGGAAACGGCGCTGCCGGCCGGTTGCTAGAGCGACAGCGTGTGGAACGAGAGTAGCACGCTCCGCACGTGACAAGGCGCAGGCAATCGAGCGCCGAGAAAGCGAGTTCGTACAGGAACCCCAGTCGACCTGCCTTGTCCGCTCAGCTGTACCGGCCGCGGACGCCGAGCGGAGCCGCTGTCATGGGCCTGGGCAACAGCGCCGAAGAGACCGTGGGCGGTACCGAGGGGTACCACCTGTTCCAAGTGAGTCGCCCCCACGGCGCCGGTGACCTTGGCGGGGTGCCTGCAGCGATGCGCCCGGAGGTCTGGTCGCCGGCCGGTTGGCGACTGCGACGGGCCCCCGGCATGAGGGTTATCACCCGGGTGGCGGGCGGTGCCCTCTACCCGGTGGGAACGGCCTAGGAGAGGCGGCCTCGCGGGACTCCTGGCCCCGGCCCGTCTGCGGCCGCGGTCGGGCCCTGCGCCCGTCCCAAGTGCTAGCTGTGCGGGAAGCGGGAACGTTTCCTGGTCGGGCCGCCCGGAATAGGACTCTTACCGGGTGGAGAATGCACCAGCTCTAGCCGGCATGCACTTAGCACACATTCATGCTCGCTTGCTGTGTGCCGCACTCCGTGCCCGGCCTGGGGAGAGAGCCGGCAACGCCGAAGACCGGGCGGTCCCCGCCTCTGGTCTTACATTCCCGGGGGCGGGGTAGCCAAGCGGACGCCAGCTGCCGGGGAGCCAGTCGGCAAGCACGCCGCCCGTCATGGGCTCGGAAGGGCTTCAGGAGGAAACTGGGGAACGCGAGGGCCAGGAGAGTGCAGCAGAAGCCACGAGGAGAACGTTTGCAGCTGGGGGAGGGTCCCCAGGGTGAAATACTGCGGAGAGGGCCGTTGAGGAGGGGGCGGAAGATGGCCTTTAGATGCCACTACCGGGAGGTCTGGACGAGCAGGCTTCTGGGAAGCGGAGACGGAGTCGGGTTCCTAGAGTCTGGACGGGCTGTGAAGGTGACAAGAGGGTCCCGCAGCCAGATGGAGATTGGGGGTGGAGATTTGTGCCAGCGCGGGAAGTGCGGGGCGCTGTAGTGAAGGTGAGAGGGGCCGGAGGGTCTCTGACTCCTGAGTGCAGCGGGGGAGAAGCACACGCCCCCCTTCCCTAGTGAAAAGCAGGTGGACCCAGAAATGGGTGTAGATAGACAAGTTTGTTGGTTTGGTGCCTGTTGATGGTCTTTGTGTTGAAGGAAGAGTCTGTTACCAGCTATCACATGGGAGGGCTAAAGAAGGAGTTTTCTAACACAAAAGCCAAGCTGGCTTTGAGGACCCAGAGTTGACAGGGTTTACGCTTGGTAATGGGCTTTCTCATGGTGAGGCACCGGTAAGAAAATGTGGACAGTGGAATGTATCCAGCCAGGGGTGTCTTCCAACAGGTTTGATAGAAGGCAGAAGAATACGGGATATTGGCAAGACGGGGTGGTGAGGTGATAGTGGGAGTGAAGACAGGAGGGGCCTGATGGAGAGGGACAGATTGGAGATAGGTCAAGGGATCAGAGGTCGTCATTCACAAAAACAGGTATTTTTGAGTATTCTGGCAGGCAGAGTTCTAGGCACCAGAGGTAAAACAGTGAACAGAACAGACATCCCTGTTCTCATGGAGCTTACATTTGGATGCTGATAGGGAGAGCAGGGAGACCATAAAGAAATATGTGGTAGGTGGTAATAACTGCTAGCAAGAAAAATAAAGCAGGTTAAGGGGATAAGAGTGATGAGTGGGGGAGGTTGAGGCAGGAGTATTGCTTGAGCCCAGGAATTCGAGGCTACAGTGAGCCACGATTGCGCCGCTGTACTCCAGCCCAGGCAACAGAGCCAGACCTGTCTCTAAGGAAAAAAATGGGTGGGTGCTATTTTGGATAGAGTGGTCAAGAATGGTCTCTGCTCAGGTAACATTTGAACAGATGCTTCCAAAGGAGGAGTGGACAGTACAGATATTTAGGGAAATACTATTCCAGATAGAAGGACCAGCAAGTGCAGAGGCCCTGAGGTGGGTTGTACTTGTGTTTGAGGAAATGCCAGGAGGTGAGGCTGGTGTGCTTGGTGGATGTGGTGGGTATGAGGAGGAGATCAGCAGAGAATGAGACCATACTGCATGGAACCTTGCATGTTGTCATGAAGATTGAGGATTTTATCCTGAGATGTGGAGCCATTGGAAGGTTTTAACTGTAGGAGTGAAATGACCTACTTACATTAAAAAAAAAAAAATGAACAATTGTGTGTGCCGCATTCTATAAATATTGGCCTTCCCATTGTGTGCCCCACATGTTGGAGAAGACTCTGCCCTCAGCAAGCTTAGAGGGTTCACCAGGAAACTGCTGTTACAGAGCAGTGGTTGGGGGAGGGCTCTGGGTTAGATTTCCTGGGGTCAGATTATTGAATTACTTAGTACTTGTTTTCATCCATAATTTGGGGTTAGAAAAGGTTAAATGATGGACAAAGCAGGGGAGGTGGTGCCTTCCCCTGGCACCCAGTCAACCAACCTTTAGTAAATGTAAGCCAACATCATTGTGAATTCCATTAGGTTCCCTGATGGGGAAAATGGGAGGGAAGTTTTATGAAAGGCAGCACACTTCGTGGGGCTGTGGGGTATGAAGGGAGCTGGGTGGAGGGCAGTAGTTTTGTAGAAGTGGGGTGTAGTAGCAGCAGCTTAGATTATCTCAGCTATGGAGCCATGGTGAGTAAGGATGAGGCCCTACTGAGGGAATGGGAGTGTAGCTGGGCTGAGGACAAGGCCACAGGAGAGGGTGGGCAGACTGGGTGGGTTAGGGGAGGGCCAGGCCTGGGAAGGGGGCCTGTGGACCTCATTAATGGTGGAGGGTAGCTGACACACAATGCAGAGGAGGGGAACGGGCAGGCAGTGGGAGCAGTGGCTTTACCTGAGGGATCAGAGACAGGGAGCGTCTTGCTCTGTTACCTGAGCTAGAGTGTAGCAGCACCACCACAGCTCACAGCAACCTCAAACTCCTGTGCTCAAGCGATCCTCCTGCCTCAGCCTCCTGAGTAGCTGGGACTATAGGCAGGTGCCACCATGCCTGGTTAATTTTTTTTGCTTTTATTTTTTTTATGGAGACGAGGTCTCACTATGTTGTCCAGGCTTGTCCTGTGGTTTTCAAAAGACCGCTGAAGAGACAGAGGGCAGGGCCCAGAGCTTCCTTCCTTGCAACTGGGAGCAACTCACCCTCTGGGCCGGGCCACCTAGGGCTGGGATTGGTTGCTGGGCTCATTCCCATTGGAAGCCATGCAGCTTCCAGAGGTGGCAAGCAGGGGCTTAATTGGTGACACTGCCAGAAGGGAATCCTAATTCCAGGGACAAACTGGCCCTGATCCAAAGGTTCAGCAGGTTGTTCTCAGCTGGTTCTCTGTGCGCTCTCCTTCAGCTTGGGGAATCTAAGGATGGAAGGGCTGGTGGTGGGTAGCAGGAGCCACAGGGCCTTCCCCCGACGGGGCACAAGAACCTGAGACCACATGAGCCCTGTGCTCTCTTGGTTGGGGCCTGGCCTGATGCATGGGTCATCCAGTGCCCATAGCCAAAGGCCTGAGGGTGTGGGCCCACCTTCAGGGTCCAGGACCTTGGGACAAAGGCCACATTATTTGAGCAAGGCTCTGTAAAATGGGGCCTTTGAGATGAATTTCTGCCACAGCCTGCAAGGCCTGGTTGTTGTGCTTTTGAAGACAGCAGTGAGCTGGGGAGTTCAGGGAGGGGCAGGGAGCATCCTGGGGCTGGGAATGCCTCCTGGAGATGGTGTTCCACATGGACATGGAGGCGAGACTGAGGCTGGTGCTATAGCTGATCCACTGGGGAGGCTCCTCAGGCCACAGCCAGGCTGCAGGGATTGGTACTGCTTCCCCACCAGGCTCCCCAGCTCGGGCCCAGTCCTGCCCCTGGGGTCTGCTCTCATGTGCCAGCATGGCTCAGTGGCTTGCATCACCTGCTCGACTGAGCCTGGGTCTGCCATCCAGGGTCAGGGGTCCCCTGGGATCTGGCCACAGGCTGCCCTTCCCACTCCCTTCTGGGCACAGCCTTGGTTGCATCCTTCCTGGGGCCTGCCCGCCTCCACTGCAGTCGGGGCCCTCCCTTTTTGTCCAGTCTAAACCTTTCTGGTAAACCCTCTTGGCTTGCCGGCCAGCCCCAGCCGGGCGCTCTGGGGCAGCATTCCTGCAGGCCTGTGTCGGCTTGTCTCCCTGCTGCCTCCTGGTAGTCCCCGAGCTGCCCTGGGCCGTGAAGCATCTGTGCATCATGATCAGGAAAGAACCATTTTCTTGAGAAGAGTGTTTGTGTTCAGGAAGGTAGGGAGAAAGGATGGATGGAGTGAACCTTGACAATTCCCAGAACGGTTCATGCCAGGCATTTGTCCCCACAGGGACACTGGGAGTGGTGATGGTTTCTGAAATTGAGAGCGGGGGTGGGGGTGGGGGCTTCTCGGACAGCCATCGGGTTGGTGCAGTGACTGTGGCCTCTGCTGCGGGACAGGTGCAGGAGAACTCGCCAGCCCAGAAGGCGGGCCTGGAGGCCTACTTTGACTTCATCCTCACCATTGGGCATGCGAGGCTGGTGAGGCCCCTACCTTGTCTCTGCTTTGCTTGTGTTTGTGTGTGTGTGTCTGTGTTTGTGTCTGTCTGTCCCTCTGTCCCCCAGAGGACCCAGCTTGCTCCTGCCTCCCTTCTAGGGGGAGGGGGAGGCCCAGCCCTGTCTCCCCTTCCTCCTGGGCTATACTCAGAGCCTTATTGGGACCACTTAGAGCTCAGCTCCTGAGCTCTCTGGGATAGACTAGGGACAGATGGACTCTTGGAGGTGGCCACAAGGCCTAACGGGCCTGCCTCTTGGGGCATGTGTGAGGGCTCTGGCCAAGGGAAGCACAGAGGGGCAGCACCAGAGTGCTGTGGACTGAGGGAGCTTTTTTGCTTGCTTTGTCATGTTTACTGGCAGGCTGGGGGTGGAAGGGTTGGGTGTGGTGGGAGGTGGGGTTGCAGTGGCTGTAGGCCCAAGCCTGGTCTGTGAACCTGGGCCTAGCTACCACCCAGCCTATCCCCACACCAGGCTGCTGGCCACCAAGGCCATTGCCCCATCTCAGGCGCAGACTTGTACGAGGGTCCCAGCCCCTGTATGGGAGACCCTTGGAGTCAGCCCTGTTGCCTCTGCAGAATGAGGATAATGACACACTGATGGCGCTGCTGAAGGCCAATGTGGAGAAGCCCGTGAAGCTAGAGGTGTTCAGTATGAAGACCATGAGGGTGCGCGAGGTGGAGGTGGTGCCCAGCAACATGTGGGGCGGCCGGGGCCTGCTGGGCGCCAGTGTGCGCTTCTGCAGCTTCAGCAGGGCCCACGAGTACGTGTGGCACGTGCTGGTGAGTGTGGCGCCGCCCAGTGTGAGGGAGAGGGCGGGGCCGGCAAATCTGGGGCAGGTGGGGACATGCAGGAGGCAGGTGGGACCAGAGCCAGATGGCTAGAGAGGCCAACAGCCAGCGGGTTTACTAGAGGATTCTCCGAGGGCAGAGTCGGGTCCATCCCAGAGAAAGCAGCTCGTTACTACCTGAACAGGGTACCCTGCTTCTTGTTAGCCATGTGAGTCAGGGCACTCTTACCCTCTGTACCTGGGTTGCTTAATTTGAAAGGTGGGAATGCCATCTGCCGGAATGCTGCTGCTGCTGCTAGTCTCTCTCCCTATCTCTCTGCGCGCGCGCGCGCGCGTGCACACACACACACACACACACACACACACACACACACAGACACACAAACTGGCACATCTGTCTATGTCCCATGAGATTATAATACTGTATTTTTACTGTGTCTTTTCCACGTTTAGATAGATACTTACCATTGTGTTGGAATTGCCTATAGTCACATGATGCACAGGTTGGCGGCCTAGGAGCAATGGGCCATACACATAGCCCAGGTGTGCACTACGCTGTGCCATCTGGGTTTGTGTGAGGACACTCTAGGATATTCACACAATGATGAAATCACCTAATGACACATTTCTCAGAACGTATCCCTGTCGTTAAGCTACGTGACTCTCTATATAGTGGTTTTTCTGATATATTGTTATATGATCGATCAATATCTTAATGAGCCTCAGTGACTAAGCTGTCCTAGATGTTAGAGTCTGTTCACAGACACACATGCACGCCTGACACCTGCACATATCGATGGTGTCCAGGTTCTCAAATGTTCAGTCCTGTGGCTTAATGTAAGGAGCCTGAGCTAGAAGTTGGAAATTTGGTTTCTAGCCTCTTCTGTTGCTCACTGACTTCTTGGGGGAGCCTAGCCAAATTTCTCAATCTTTGCAGCCTGCCTCAGTTTGCCCATGAGTGAGATGGGACTGATGATGCAGACTCCTTTGCATTTCCCAGGGAGGCTGGGAGATTGGGAGTGGTAGAGCTTTCCAGGAGAGAAAGCAATCCTTGCTTGTATCCAGTTTTGCTCACTTCCCTCACCTCCCACCCCTAGGGCGCTTCAGCCACATGCCTACAGCAGTAGCAGCAATGCAGTTAGGCATTTACTGTGGCCAGGGTGTGGTTTTCTTTCTTTGCATATATTTCTTTAATCTTATCAGCTACCCTGTGAGTAGGTAAGTATGTATCCTACTCTTAATTGTGGGGAAACTGAGGCTGAGAGAAGTTCAGTAATTTGTTCAGTCACATAGCTAGCAGTTGGTAGAGCCAGGGATGGAGCCCAGGGTCAGAGTCCAGTGCTCATTGCTGAGCCATGGCATGGTGCTGCCCTCTGCTGGGCAAGCTGTAGACTGGAGGAGGGAGTCTGGGCTTGAAGCCTTGCTTGGGGATAGAGGACAAGTGTCCTACTCACTACCTGGAGAGGTGGCCTCCCCTGCCCCTTCTCCACCCCCACCCCCAACCTCCCACCTCGCCAGCAGTGAGGCTGATAGTTTGTGATTCTTTCCCCAGAATGTGGAACCATCTTCACCTGCTGCCCTTGCAGGCCTGCAGCCCTACACAGACTATGTGATTGGTGCAGACCAGCTCCTCCAGGAGGTGAGGAACCCATGGCTCGCCCCTCCCCAGGCCCCCTGGATGACGTGTGGAGAGATGGGTGCTGTCCATGAGAAGTGTCTCATTTTGTTGAGGTTTCCAGTCTGGTCCTGGGAGCAGGCCTCAGGTGCTGTGTGTTTCTTATAGTCTGAAGACTTTTTTACGCTCATCGAGTCCCATGAAGGGAGGCCCTTGAAGCTGATGATTTATAATACTGAGACTGACTCCTGCCGGGAGGTGACTCTAACTCCCAATGCAGCCTGGGGTGGAGACGGCAGGTACTTCCTGGAGTTGGAGGGCTGCAGGGCTAGGTGGGTGAGGTCTGACCAGTGGGCGTGTACCCCACAGTCCCATAGAGATCCTGAGGCTGACTACTGGTCCAGAAGTGCCCTTTCCAGCCCTCTTACTAGTAGTGGGTGGGGGTGGTGAAGGTGGGGAGGGCTGTGGGGTAAGCCCCTGGATTGAATGTTTCTGGCCTTTGGCAGTCTGGGGTGTGGCATCGGCTACGGGTATCTACACCGGATCCCAACTCGGCCCCCCAGCTACCACAAGAAGCCGCCTACTGCACCACCATCTGATGCCCCACCACCTGGTGCCCTGCCGCCTGGACCCATCCCACTGGACTCTTCTGCCCTGGAGATAGGTTCCAGGCAGAATGAATATGTGGAGGTATATGGGGAGCATCTGCCAACCAGGGAAGGAGGGGAGTTTCCTGTGGGCAGAGGGGCCTGCCAGCTGGGAAGGGAGAAGACTCTGGAGGCTGCCCCTGGGGAGCCATCAGCAACCTTCACCAGGGTGTCTGTGGGGCCCTTGTGCTCTGGGAGGCCCATCTGCTTCTGCGACCCAGTGGGAGCAGATGGCCCTGCTTGGGACAGTGAAATTCACTTTTGGCTCTCCTACCCCTTGGGTCTAGAGGTGAGGGTGGAGACGAGACACTAGTTGTCACATCTTCATTTCACAAGTGGGAAACTGAGGCTGAGATGGGCTTGTTCTGTGCCTCAGTGAGTCTGTGGTGAAGCCGGGCCAGGCGCTGGGCCTCCAGAGTCCCAGTTGAGATGGTTGTCTGGCTGAGTCTGCAGGGAAGCACTGGCCTTGCCTTCATGGCTGATGAGCTGGTCCTGAGAGCACCTTTGGGCACTGGGTTGGAGCCTGGGGTTTGTGCGGGGGCATCTGAGGATGCTCTCCAGGTATGCCTGAATTCAAGGAAGGCCCTCTCTTCTGTGCATCACTGAAGGGGGCCCAGGCAGCAAAGGGAATGTGTTGGGGCCGGGTGAGCAGCTGGGGCTTCTCAGCACAGTAAGGAGACTGCTCCTTCTGTGTCCACGCTGTAGGGGAGGCCTGGCTGGTGGTTAGGTTGGACTGTGAAATCCTTCACCTCAAGGCCCTGTCCTGATTGCGCCCTCCATTTCCTCCTCTTCTCTGGCTCCCCTAGGCCCTATTGCAGGCCCCTGGCTCCTCCATGAAGGGCCCACTTCCTGGGCCTGGGGATCTCAGCCATGGTGCTCCAGACCTTGGGGGACTTCCACGTTCCTTGGAGACTCCTCTTCACCCTCCACCTCCAGTGCAGCGAGTCATGGACCCAGGTATTGGGCAGGCCCTGGAGAGGAGTGGGCCCTGGGCTCAGGGCTGGACTTTGGCAGCAGTGCCAAAACTTTCCCTGGGGCCCGCTGACCCCTCATATCTCATATACAGCAAGATAGCTGCAGATCATCTAGTTCAGTACAGGGATGGGGAGTCCAATCCAGAGAAGAGAGGTGGCCTACTTCAGGTCACCAAGCAAACTGGAAACAGCAGAGTCTAGGTCTACTGCTACTGCACTACTCCCTTGATACCAACCCCAGACCCCTTTCTTTCCTCAGAAGCAGGCAGTGGGCACCTCTGGGGTTGGGTGAGAGGTATAACCAGGGCTGAGGGAGACAGTCTCACAGGCTGGGCCAGATGCCCCAGGAACAGGGCACGGTGAGCCCAGGGGATTGGCTTTCCAGTGGTCAGGGTTTTATGCTGGCAAAAAACTGTGCCCCTCCCCTAGGCTTCCTGGACGTGTCAGGTATTTCACTCTTGGACAGCAGCAATGCCAGTGTGTGGCCCAGCCCGCCCTCTTCCACAGTGCTGACTTCCACAGCTGTCTCAGCCTCAGCGCCAGAGGATGTCTGCTCTAGCAACAGTTCTCATGAGCGGGGCGGTGAGTGGCTAGCATCTCCTGAAGTCCTCTGGCAAGGACCCCAGGTTGCTGGGAAGCCTGCCATGAACTCCTGAGCTGGGTTAGAGGTTAACCATCTGGTTGAATACAGCCACATCAAGGCATCTATACACTCCATCCCCCATCCCCCATCAAGGCCTGAGGTGGCAGTGGGGGGTCAGTGGGGTTACTGACAGAACACGGCCCTGTGTTCTGCTGCAGGCCTCCTCAGCCTCACCTTCTGTGTTCCAGGTGAGACCACATGGTCTGGGTCAGAGTTTGAGGTCTCCTTCCTGGACAGCCCAGGTGCCCAAGCCCAGCTGGACCACCTGCCTCAGCTGACCCTTCCGGACAGTCTCACCTCTGCAGCCTCACCAGAAGATGGGCTATCTGCTGAGCTGCTTGAAGCCCAGGCTGAGGAGGAGCCGGCAAGCACAGAGAGCTCAGATTTCGGGGTGGAGGCTGAGGGGCGGGCCAGACAGGCCCAAGTCTCTACCTCAGAATAATACCCTGGGCTGTGACAGGGCTCTTAATGACATTTCATGAGGCCCAGATGTGGGCAGGCAGCCCAGCTCCTGTGTGATCCCAGCTCTGTATGTTCAGCTTCCTAGGCAGCAGCTCTAGGTGACGTGCAGGGACTTCTGCTGGCAGGGGGCTTGTGTCTGCTCAGGCCCTACTTCTGGTTTCCAGATGACCTCCCAGCATTTATCCTGACTGATGGTCTTGGTTTTGGGGGTTTCAAACAAGTCCTTCAGGGGTGATAGAGGGCTGGGACTAGCACCCCGGACTGAATATGTTTTATAGGAGATAGGGGAAGGATTCGCTGCGTAGGTGGGTCATGAAGCCTTAGTGTGTAGTCAAGAGGAGGCCATGGGCCTTGGGGGAGGATATCTTACGGTCATGCACCCTCAGGTCCAGTGCTTGTTCCTGCTCTGGTCACTGGGGCTGCCCAGGAGGCAGCAGAGTCAGGTCATAATCTAGCATGTAGAGGGGGTGAGGAAGGAAAAGCGTTGGTGTTGAGTGTTGGCCTGATTGCTTTGATCATTCCTGCATAGCTCAGCCAGCCCTGGCTGTACTGGCAGAGGCCCCCAAACACCAGTCACTGACTCTGTCAAGTGCCCTCATCCCTATGCTACACTGCCACAGTTGGCTCAGGTTAGCCAACATGCCAGTCATGGTTGGAGAAGAGAGGCAATGTACTTGCCCACCTCTCCTGGAGGGAGGGGGGTTGGAAGTTCTAGGCCCTTTAGCAGAGACCCACTTGTGCCAGAGACCACGATGTTTCTTCTTCCCCAGGGCCTACATGCCACAGAGCTAGTATCCCCAGTGGCGACACCTGTTAGCTCCCAAACTTAAACTACTATGTCTTCTAAGTATACAAGGCATCCAGATAGCCCCAATAGTGAATTAAGGTTGCAAATTAAAGTTCACCATCCTAAGCAGACTCTCAAAGCCAACTAGGTCTCTTCACATACAGCCCCCAACCCAAGGAGGAATTAGGGGCATAGACAAGAGTGGGTAAGGGCCCTTCTGTTCTTTCCTATAGAATGGGAGGAAGCTGTTCTGCCCACCCCCAGGTGCCTTTGGAGGCTAAGGCTAGGGACTCTGCTCAGTTCCTGCAGAGGAGTGCTCCATCTAGGGACGGCCCCTTATCAACTGCAGTCCCTACTGCTTTGACTGCATCCTCACCGTCTCACACTCCTTGCTAATTACTGTGAAAGCTGCCTCTGGCCTTGTCTTCTAGCTTCTTCCCAGTTTAAAGTCCTACTTTTATAGCATGATTTGTAATGTTGGCGTATGTATAGGGAACTCACAAGCTCTGGTAGGTCTGCAGGACAAGGGCTGTCTGTTCCGGGGTGAGTGGGCACAGACCAACTGTATGGAGAGAGGGCCCCAAACCAACAAACACTAAGTCTTAGGCACTGTGTGACTACATTTAAAGCAAACCCTTGTCAAGCCTACCAGAGCAGCCAATAGTGTGCAGACAGTGAGCCACTGTGTCCTGGATTGTCTGGGAGCTCAGTGTCAGTCTGCAGGAATGCAGGAAGTAGAACAGGATCGCCACAGGACTATTCTGGGGCCAGCTTCCCTTAACTCTGTAGCCTGGCGGTCTGACCCAAAGGTGCCCTCACCTGAAGGTTCTGGCTCTTCCCTCCCTCATTTTTACTTTCCCCTCCCCCATAAATTGGGGGATAAAATGGCTAACAATCCTACTTTCCAGGGTGAACGTGAAACCAGAGGATTTCTTACCTTTCTCTGTAAATCTATAAAGGAAAATGACAAGTGAAAAAAAATAAATGTGTACTACACTTTGAAATATTTTAACTAAAGCCTTTATTCTATACAACTGTGAAATACAGATTTTTACTCTTTTGGCATTGCAGACTGTCAAATTTTCTGGAAATCATATTACTGGTTTGACTGGAGGGGGGGGAAACGTACATGCTGGGGGTCAGATCTATGACAGGAAGGGAGCGCAACCACCCAAGGCTCAGCACACAGGGCAAAATAACCCAGCAAAACCCATTTCTTCAGCTCAAAGGCCCCTCGTGCAAACACAACTGAGGGCTGGTAATTTTTTTTTTTTTTTTTTGCCATTAATTCACAACTATTGCTAAAAAATGTACACCAAAAGTGCACTGTTGTATCCAACAGATAGAAAGGACTTTTAAAAAAAAGAAGCTGGTTGCTCTCTGAGGAAGGGATAATGACCATTTCAGCTCATTGGAAATGTGGCCACGTCTTTGCTCACTTTTTCAAAGTGCAGGAGACAATGGCCTGTCCACTTTCCAAAGGAAGCTGGCCAGCAGTGAGGGAACCCTGTCTCTGCAGTTGTGCGGATCAGAATATCTCATAAGTAAGGTATGGACCTGGGCCCATCAGCTGCCCCCAGCTGAACCTGTGAAGATATAGAAAAGAAAAAACCTTCCCCCACCTCCCTCCCCAGTCTCTGCTATTGTGAGGACAAGCCACACACAAGCTGGGGAGGCAACTGGACTGGAATAAACTGCCCTCTGAAGGCACTTGTGCTTCTGGCTTCGTACAGGAGGCTTGCCTTATGTAGTTTTATGGGGTGGACCATTGATCTAGTCTGAATACAAATGACCTTGGGGAAATCCAAAGTATTTTCTGCCAAAAGTTGAAGTGTTTATCCCCAATAAGTTATACTCTGTACAAGATCCAAATGATTCTATGAAAGCTTTAGATTGTTAGAAAGAACAGTGAAAAGAAGATCAGGATACAGGTACAACAAAAATCTGCATATAAAACTTTGGAAAAACAAATATGTATACTTCTCGGTTGTGACTATCAAATTAACTCACTATGATATCCCTTTACTCTGACACCGTAAGTTTTAAGTAACATTTGAATGAAATTAAAATTTCATCATGGTCTTAAGTTTTGATGATATCATGCTGCTCACTAGAGCAAGACCATGTGGTCTCAGCTGGCTTTGCCTATAAATAAGACTGGACACAGTGGAGGAAGGGGTGAAACAGCTGCACCTCCCTGGGGCTGCTGCACAGCCAGGGCATTGTGGGGGAGTGCAGCATCGCTGGGCACAGGCTGCGCAAACTCTGGCCCAGCAGTCCAAGTGCTGTGATTCCAGCACCTGGAATTTCAACACATCTTCCTACAAGAACACATCTGAGATGCAATATTAAAAACAAGCCCAACATTAATCATTTATTATGAAACGGGCTGGTTCTCAAATTGTGCAACAGCAAATTCCCATTAAAAATAACTATCTTAAATGGTGAAAACAATTTTTTTTATGACAAACTTGGAAAAAGCCTTCATAGCTACTGCATGAATGGAATGTACTCTCTTAGAAAAGCTACAGACTGGGTTTGAAGTCGAAACACAGTGACAGATGTGTCCTGACCAATGTGTCACTAACAAGTGCTAACAAAGATAAGGTCCTTTGAAACAAAAGGAGGAAGCAAAGTCTGCACTGGCCTGTTGTCAGTTCTCTGTACATCTCGCAAGACAGTGTCTGCTTGGGGCTCTTCTGCTCTTGCACTCTGCTCCTCTGGGGACAGCTTAATCTACACGTGGAGACTGGTTTCTATATTACATCTCAATTAGTCACTTCAATTGAAAGATAATCTCGGTCCATACCAAGTCAGCCGTTAGGAGTCTTGCTCCCGTTGGGGCTCAGTGGGCTTCCTAGGACTACTCTTGGGGCCATAGAGGAAGGTAGTAAATGAATACCCAGGAGCATTAGCCCACCCTTCACGTGGACTTCTGACGGTAGTGGAGGGTGAGGTCACCACCACTCTTCCATATGAAGTGCTTCACTGTTCGAAGGTCCATATTTGGATCCAAAACCTGAATAGCGAAAAAGAAAACATTTCAGTCCCTAATATCTAAAACTTTACCGTGTTAACTCAGGGACTTTCATCAGATGATCCAGCCTGTTCACTGCTCTCCCCTGCCTGGTGGCCTGCTCTGGCTGTCTCAGCTTCCATGCATGTAGGCCCGAAACTGGGCACAGCGAGATGTGCATCCTTTGTGACTATGCCAGAAAAACCAAGCCCTCTTTCAACCATTCCTCTGAAGGCATGCCTTGAGCACAAAAATAGCTCTGCCATTTCTGCACCTACCTCCACTCCGAATCTTAAACTAACATGGCATACGCTGCTCTGCAAATCAGAAAGACTTTATGTGTCATTTTCTTGTCAGGAAATAAAAAAAGCTACCAGCACATCCACACTTGTCTATGTGTGTATTTAAATCTATGTGTCCTTTTCCTGAAAACCTTCCTAGGGGTAAACAGGAGCGTTAGGGTGGACTTAAGAGCCACTCGGAAGGGGCCTCACCACTAGGTGGGAGAAAGACCCAGGACTCCTTACAGCCTCTCTGAAAGCAGAAGCCCCCTCAAAGGCAATAGATTTGGGAACTATAATCACACCATATTATGTCACTTTCTGAGCACCAGCACTGGAAAAAATGGGGATGTGGTCCTCAAGTCTACTTACCTGGTCCTGGCACAAAAGTTCAATTTTCTCCTCTGCCAATACAGCAATATCCTCTTCTTTTTCCTGTTCTCCTGATTTTTCATTATTAGAAGAGCTAGTTGTTTGAGATTCATTATCCAAGTTGATAATTTTCTCATAAACATGTTCCATAACTTTCCGGACTTGAAGCATGTCACTAGCAGAGAGTCTATCCCTGTAAAAAGCAGTAGCATATTGTGACATCAGGGAAATCACTAGATATCTCTACCATATTACTTTTCTTTGGTGTTAACATTTTATAAAGATAAAACATACCACAGAAACAAACCAATAAATGTCAAGGCCTTCCAGGAGTGGGGAACCTGCAGCCTTAACGCCAAATGTGGCCTTCTAGATCTGTAAGTGCAGCCTTTTGACTGAATCCAAATTTTACAGAACAAATCCTCTTATTAAAAGGGGTGCAGGAGAGAAAGATGAAGCTTTTCTTAACTCCTCTGGTGCTTAAAAAAGAACAATCTTGAAATCAGAAGGCCACAGCATCCCCACCTCTGCAAGATTTTCTACAGTGTACTCCTAAAACAGATTATATGCAACTAAATGAGATTAATTCATGTTCTTAAAATTTACATATACACATAGAATAGCAGCCTTGGGTTTTAGTCCCTTGAATACTTTCCCAGAGCAAGGGCAAACTAAATACTCCTGGACAGGAAGGCAGCCCCCAGTGCTTACGAGGGACGGATGCTCTTGGTGCTCAATTTTCCCTGGGCTCTCCTCTCCACTGCCATGCCTTTCAACTAGCACCTGTGGGCAGATGATGCCCCATTCTAGACCTTGAGTCTCAACCTTCTGCTCTAGACCACAAACCCAATAGCTGGCTGGGTATCTACAGCTGAATGTCTATAGGCACTTCAAACTCTACATGTCCCAAACTAGACTCATTAACTCCCTCAAACCTACTTCTGTATCTCTGACAAAAGTCAATAATAGTTAAACCAAGAAGCTTAAAACTCTGAAAGCCATCTTGAACTTCAGTCATTAAATTTAGTTGAAGTGATGTCTAGGACTCACTTTAAAATAACCCAGTGTGTATTTGTGTGGAGGGAGGTGGGTGAGAGAGTAGGTAGAGGTATAGGTGAAGCAAAATGTTTAGCAAGGTGCTGATAATTACAGAAGCTGTCTGATGGGCCAATGGGAGCTCATTAGCCTACTCTCTATAAATTTAGAAATCTCTGTAATAAAAAGGTTTTAAAATTTCTTGTTGATTTTACTTGCTAGGATATACATACTGTTCACAGTTCAGCATCCTATCCCTAAACTACTAAAATTCTTCTCTTGGGTTTCCCTGCCTTGACCCTCTGCCTGAGTTACATCCCACATTTGCTTAAAATCTCTAGTGTTTAGTCACTGCATGCTGTATGGGCTTGGCAACCAAATCCAGCGTCAATGAAACCTCTGCCTTTCTAATTACCTCCTAGTATCTCCCTGCTGCCCCTCCGTCCTACGCTGCAGTTACATGGGTCCTCATGCTGGGTCCTCTTGCTACTTTCCAGTATCCTGTGCATGCTCTGACTTCCACATCCCCAGTCAGACTGTTCCTTGGACCTAGAATATCTATCTTTTGAAGCTGTCCCCATTCTTACATGTCCAGATCAAATTTCATGTCCTTCAAGAAGCCTTCTGGAAGGCTCCAGCCAAAAACTCATTTCTTTCTCCCACTCTCATTATTCCCTAAGTATCCATAAAAGCAGTTATTGTACACAGGTTGTATCCTAAACTGTTATGATAAGAGAAAAAAACCATGTCTTATTTATTTTTGAACACCTGAAGACTACCACAGTTGATACTTAGTAAAGGGTTTAATGTATAAACTTTCAGTATTATAAAACTCAGCCTTAAATCTAGCACTTGCCTCCTTTGCAATCATAAGGAAAAAGAATCCTCTCCAGTAATTAATTAGATTAAGGCACCACACAACACTACATTTACTTACTTTTTTAAGGTTTTTGCTCCTGAAGATGCATGAGGTTGGAGGTAGAAGGGAATTTTGTTGAATTTGGGCATATTTTTCTGAAATATCAAAAGTTAAAAAGGTATAATAGTTTCTATTAGTTGACAAACTAAAATGATGTCAACAGGAAAATATGATTTACAAGTAATAATTATTTTACAATTAAAAGTAACTTTCTATGAAGTTTATAGTAAGTAATCAAATTATCTAAGTCAACCTTTGAAAAAATTTATCAAAAAAGTATAACATCTGGTTTTGTAATAAAAGATATGTAAAGACAAATTATATGTAGTATTAGTGGCAATAACAAATTATAGCATGGCTCTTCTTCAATAACAGTACAAGGTATTAAGGGAAACAAACTTTAATTTT